CATTCTCTTTCTATCGGCTGGTCACAAGAGACCATCCAGACAGAAACCCAATATTTTTACTGTTGCCTTTGTTACATTTGTGCTCCCTTTATTTATTTATCAGCACAAATACAACACAAATGTAACAAAGGCAACAGTAAAAATATTGGGTTTCTGTCTGGATGGTCTCTTGTGACAAGCTGATAGACAGAGAATGGAAGCAGTGAGCTTCCTCCCATATTTGGGCATACCAGGGGTTGTGACATTAAATACATGTATGTATGTATGTATGTATGTATGTATGTATGTATGTATGTATGTATGTATGTATATAATATTAAATGCTGAATTCCAGATCACTATCAGCCTTGTCTCTCTCATATGTCTCCTGAGGTGACAAGTTTGCTGAGTATTCTTTTCTTTCTCTTTTTCACCCCAAAATGACATGTCTCTTTTAATCTGTTTTTCCATTCACTCTTTTTGCATTTAAAAAAAGGAAAATGTTTAGAAACACTTGCAAAACAGTTCTGAACAATGTAGATGGACGTATATCAATGATAGCTTAGGCACTGGCAATTGAGACTGATCCTGCCAGCTTTGGGCTTTTTCTTTGATACCCAAGGAAGATTGGGGTATCAATTCTCCAGATTTGGAGGAAAATGTACTTTTAAATGATAAAAAACCCTCCTGCATATTCCAACAGCCCCCTTTTCCTCCAGCACTTTGTTTAGTCTGTCTTCACCGTGCATTTGTAACTAATATCCTAACCTGTGATTCAAGGGCATTTACTATTATCTCTTTTTTGAAAGGTACAATTAAAATTATTTTGATAAATTTGTAATGCTGTAGCTTATTAAGGCTTCTGCATCTGCCAATAATGTTATTAATATGGGATTTAGTCATCCCTGCTTCTAAATCTTGCTAACCATTAGCTTTGTCATATTTCGCATTCCAATCATGCATATTAGTAGAAATTATACCTTTTACCTTGCAAAGAACCACACATAGTAACACTATGCTTCTTGTGAGTTTTAAATTAACAGCTTCTGATTTTAGGTGGGCAGGGAACCTTACTTCCAAATACCAATATTAGTTCTTTTTAGGAGATATAAAGAAGCCAGATTTATGGGTATTTGTAAATATTGGTACTTAGACACCATTTAGATACCTTAAATCCATGCCCCCACTTTTTGAAACAGCATTGTTTATACCAGTACATATATATCTTGGGAAATACAGACACCTGTTCAAATGATGAATCACACCAAATAATACAATATCACAAATACTGCTACAATACATTGGGATTAGGGATGACAGGATGCTGCAATTAGTCTGGAAGATTCTAGAAAAATTGAGATAGCATCCTGTCACTGAGAAACCAGTGGGATACGTGTGTGTTTATATGTGTGTGGGTAAAGAAGAGAAAAGGGAGGGAGGAAGATAAAATGATTGAGTAAGAACATGCATCAACTAGGAGATATCCGCCAAAAAGCCCACAGTAAACACCAGATATTGGCACATGATCAAAACAGGTTTTAAATCAAGCTGCTATATTATGGTCCAGAGGAAAGGGAGTGGACATGCATTGATTTAAACCCATCCTGATTCCCTCAAAAAGTAGAATCAGAACAAAGTTGATTTTTCTATAAATAGCAAAGTATCTGCCCTGTAATCATTTACCTGCAGTTGGTTTTCAGATATCTATTCATCTTCCTAGCAGGTAATTTATCCATTCAAATCATGTGGACAACTATATGTCAATTCCCCCCCCCCCCAATGTTCATTATTTTTATTTAATGTTCACACCGGAGAGAATTTTTAAAATGTGATTGTATTATCAATGATATATGTCCGTGCTACTACTACCGTAGCCTCCTTGTGACTGGAATATTTATGAATTAAACAAATTTATATGGCCATCCAACTCACACATAGCACCAGTGGGAAAGTATTCTTTTATTCATGATATAGCCTGAAGCCAGGAAAATTTACTCTTCCCTCTTTTCTTCCCCACAAATTTTCTAGAATGATGCTGTGAAGAGATCTGGTCTGGCAGCTGTAACCAGCTGTCTAATAGCATTGGCATTTATGTATCATTTTGAATGGCACCTGAAGTGGCTGGTTGCTTAATGTTTCACAGGCAGGGAGTTGAATGCTCCCTCAAGCTTTCATAGAACAGAGGAGAGGTCACAGGGAAGCAATATCACTAAGCAGCTGGATTTACAAACTGTCCAGGGAATATTAAGTGGAAGGTGATGTGCATGGAAGGAATGTTGACATTTAAACAAGTAGATTTATTAGTCGTTTTAGTAAATGACATTAAAAAAAAAGCAAAGTGGAAAATGGTTAAATTATTCCCATTGAGATTTTTAGTTATAAGAGGCAGCATCTTCCAAAAAATGAAATATCCACTCCAACCAGCAATCAACACAGAGATTATGCAAATATAAGACATACTTTCCCACATGGTACAACTTGTAAAATGCAAAAGCAAAAATAGCCAACCTGCATTTTCACATACAAATTACTCATTTGAGTATGGAAAGCTTGCACGAGGGGATGTAGCATTCCTTGTTCCCTTGCACACACACACACACGTTTAGATGCTGTCTGTTCACAGTAATAAACACTGCAGATTACGTATGATAACACTAATACTAGCAAAGAAAACACCAAGTACCGCTTTGAAAACAATACATACAAAAGCCAAGAATTATGAGATTATTTCTGAGCCTGCCATGAAGAATGGCCCTGTTTGAACCCAACACATTCAAAACATAATGAAATATATACCTAAACATAACAATGATTATTTAACCACACTGAAACTGCACATCTATGAAATGTTCTCCCAATATCTGTCCAAAAGGAGACCCAAGATTAGCCTCCCAGTCCATACAGAGAATATAGGTACACAAATACACTGGAATGAAATATAGGAAATGGTAACGTTATGAAGATTTAAGATTCATTAAAACAAGTTGGGTCAATTTTAATTAAGTCAAAATATATGGATAAACTTCTTCTTGATTATTCTTTTCATTGTTTTTTAAAAAAAACACAATCCTAGGTGTTCTCTGAGAGCTGCATTTCAGATGAACTTGGCACGTCAGGTAGTGATATAGGACATTCTCCTTGAAGTGGCACTGTGCCCATTTAGCTGCCAGCACCATCAAGTAATTGACCAACTTGAAAAAGGTTCCCTGCTAATTGGTTCTAGGCTGCTCAGCTCATTTGTCAAATTCATGTCATAAATCTTGTCTTTCCAAAAGTGTAAATCCTGAGCATGTTTTCTTCTCATTTAGAGCCGAGAAGATGTTCAGCTAGGATAAAGAAGGCCTTGCCATATTTATTTTATTGTTATGTGTGTCTGAGCTGTTATTTGCTTTGCTGTTGTTTGTTTATTTGTTATTGTTTTAATTGTTTTAAATTGCTTATTAGATGTTGTAAGCCACCCAAATTCTTTTGGAGTGGGAGGCTGTAATACGTACATCAAAATAATAAATTAGTACTCAGGGCTGTCCTTCTTTGTCCAGATTACTTCATAAGACTAACACTCACTATGTCAACTGGCTTCTAAGATAAGGCGTCAAAAATGGATCAGGAAGATAAATTCTTTCCTATGTTCTGCTCAAGGCAGGAGAATGCTCAAGCTAGTAAATTTCAATAGTGCCACTGACTACTTCCCAATTTTCTTCCTTGATACTCAACTGCATTAATATCTATTTCTGCCACAACTTTTAATGTAACCAAAGCAGCTGCTAAGGTCAACTCCACAGCAGAGCATGTGGTTGCTGGTTTCTGCACTTGTAAAATCCTCCTGAGAAATTTGGGGATTGGCTTTATTTTTAGGGGGAGGGAAATTGTATCTTTCCATCAGCACCAAATTCTGATTTGAGAATTTTTTAAAAAACAAAAATTGCAAGAAATAGTTAGTAAATTTATATGGAGTGGGGGAAAAACATCTTAAATTAAAAAAATTACAAGATTCAAAAAATAGAGGCATTCTTTCTCTTCTAAATTTCAAACTATATTACAGAGCAAGCTGTTTTGTCATGATTAAGAGATGGGCTTTGGCTTTAGGAGTTGGTGCCCAGGAAGATTTAACAGAACTTACTTTCTAAAGTGTGGTGATTGCAACCACTCCACTGTCACCCTCCTTCCATTGATATCCAATGGGATCATTTTACATTCTCCTTGTCTGAATTCCTTCTCCAAATGTGTTGGGTAGGAGACAGTTGGGGCTAGAAAGCAGGGTAGGGCTCCTGTTGCTCCCTCCCTCCATTGCCAGATGGAAGAAATTTACCCCATAATAAGTATGGCCACTCCAGTTAGCATCCCTGTTTACACATCCAGACTGTAGTCCGACCACCCATTTTTATTTCAGTACATGGATTGGAACTGAGAAATTAGTCAGCAAACAGTCTATGGATCCTTTCTCTATATAAGATGTCACATTATGAAATAAGACTGTGTAGATTTTTATTATAACTATGAAACATGTGGCTTTGGTAATACCATCCAGCTTCCGCTTTTTCCCATGCCTTACACATATTTCATGTACAGATACGATCCTTGCAGCCTCAGAGATATTGGAGAGGGTTGATGGTTGCAAGGTAAATCAAATTTACCCTAAGCTAATTTGAATATGGCTGCATGCCTAGGTATATATATAAAAGCCGCAGTGGTGCAATGGTTAGGGTGCAGTACTGCAGGCTACTTCTGCTGATCACCGCCTGCCAGCAGTTTGGCAGATCGAATCTCACCAGGCTCAAGGTTGACTCAGCTTTCCATCCTTCCGAGGTGGGTAAAATGATGACCCAGATTGTTGGGGGCAATAAACTGGCTCTAAACTCCCTTAGAGAGGGCTATGAAGTGGTATATAAGTCTAGTGCTAGTGCTATACCCAAGATATCTATAGGAAAAAGGCAATTAGGTCTGATATAATTAGAAGTAGAGTGATAACATTAACCCCTTCCATGCTGGATTTATTCTATTGCTTTGCTAGAAGAATTTAAGCAAATATAAACTGCCTTCTTCTAATGTGGAAGAACAGTGGATTCAGAAATGCAAAAAAGGGGTTTCCAGTGTTAGCCTGGTGACCACCTTTCTTATGAACAATGGGATTATCTTCTAGATTCTTTAGGAGAAGGAATCATTTAAATTTCCTTAAATTTTGGCAAGAGGGGGAGATGAGAACTGTGTTTCTTTTTCTTTCTCTGCTTCTCTCCAAAGTCCAACAGGAAAAAAAAGGAACATGCAGAGAACCTGGAGGAAAATCATAGATACTGCAAGCTATAAATAATTATTTAGGAGAGGCAGAGCCTGTCAGATCCATAATTTTTGTATAAAGGGCCAAAGCTGTTTAAAGGTAGAACATTACAAGGCTGAGTGGCGCATATAGAATAGCTCTAAAGTAGATGACCCAGGCATCATCCAAAAATGGATTCTGAAAGCAGCAAAAGAGCATGATGTTTACAATGAGAAATAAAATTATCTGAAAACCAAGACAACATATAAATATCCCGAATTAATTGTGTCAGTGATAGGTGAAGCCTGCAGATGTTTACACCAAAACAAAGCATGCAGAGTAGAGAGTGAGCAAAGAAAGACCTTACACTACACACAGTCTAGCGAGATGGCTCAAAGAACCCATGGCCAGCCGTTAAGTCACACAGCATGAAAAGTCACGTGAGACAAAGACGGCAAGGACATCCCAGTACCTGGCACTGCACTGGCTGAGCTGTCCATTATTACATCATCCAGCATTAGATCTAGAAGAACGAAAGGTCATTAGATCACCTGAGAGGACAGGAGGCAAACCCTTCATCCCACTTTCAGCGTTCACCACTATTATGGCAAAGCAAACCAAGACCCCAATGGCTAAGGCACTTCCTATGAGATGAGATATCTAACAGAGTTTAGAAGGAAGCATTGTGCAAATGCTGGAACACATTTCTACCCCAAGGAAACAGCAAGAGATTTTTTTGGTTCAATGACCCACCAGAGCTTATAAACTAAACATATTATGGACTATCCTTTATATGGTGCCTCATTCAGTCTGTGCCAACTCTTCTGGAAGATGCCCACCTCAGGAGATCTATACTAGATAGTCAGGATGCAACCTTCTCTTTCTCCATTCCTGCCCCCACATCACTGCAACCTCATCACTGCTGATTCCTTGCTACTCAGATTAAAATCTTCAAGATTGCTTTTGTCGGTGTGTATGAATTAATCATATTAATTCTGTTAGATATTAAGGATAAAAATAGGGCTTTAGAAATTATTTAGAGTAATGCAACTTGAAGATTTTTCTTTTATTTTCTGAAGCAGATATTCTCTCTTTCTATCAGTTGGGAGAATGCAAATTTTTATCCAGTCCTGAATCTACATCCAAATTACTGGAAAATTATACATCAGAATACATATTTTTTCCAAATTTTGTGAAGTACTTTACAAATCAAGAGAGAGAGAAAGCAAGAGAGATCTGTGCAAAAAATCATATATTAGGAAAAGGTGTGCACCTAAAACCATTATATTAAAGATCATTATTTCCAAATATTTTGTACATTAAGATATGTACAAAAATGCATGTGAAACTTTTACATATGCAAATTTTATGCACCATTCATTGCAAACAAATTCAGAAAAGAGACCAGATAAAGTTATGGATGGAAAAATAGGATTATGAACATAAACAAACATGATAATTTGTCTACTCTGAGTGATACTTGGGGATGGTATATCTTTTTAATTGGGTGTTCATATGAGGTGCTCTCATTCCAGTAATACAAGCCGTGAAAACACAGAATACCTTTATCTTTGTATGATTTCTGCATTATGAGCCTTGGAATTAATAATACGTGGCATAGGACAAAAATAATTTTCTCCGCTGTGAGATAATGGTTAGCAACTACTGTTAGGGGAAAAAAACTTTCACAACCTAATATAATTTTTTAGGAATCTGTAAATCAGAGAAGAAGAGGTTTACATAAATAGGAGCAGCATTTTATTTGGTAGTGATAGTATGGAAGTTCCCTACAGAGTTACTGGCTACATTCCCAAAAGACATTACATTAGGGTAAATCATGTGTGGCCAAGTTTTCTTCTGGCATCCCTCAGAGCCTTCTCCAACCAAGACTGCTGAAAACTTCCCATATAGAGGTGAGCAGCATATGAAAAAGATGAGTAAGCTATGAAGTATAATAGGCAGGGGTGAACTTCAAAATTTTTAGCAAGAGGTTCTCTGCCCGGTTGCTGGGTTGGCATGCATGGTGGGTGTGGCCTAGTTGGCCTCCTGCACCACGGCGGTGTGTGTGTGTGTCATTTTTGCCCACCCCGGGCTCTGGAAGCTTTCCTCAAGCCTCTGGTAGGGGGAAAATGTCCTCCCTAGGCTCTGGAGACCCTCTGGGAACAGGCTCATTTCCTGAACTTCTGATAAGCCCATTTTTCACCCTCCCTGAGCCTCCATGCATGCCCTGTACTTACCTGCACCCAAAACAGGCCATGTGGGCACTCCTGGGAGGGGAGGGGTGGGTGGGGCCAGCCAGGAGTGGAATTTGGGGGTTCTCTGAACTGCACAGAATCTTAACTAGAGGTTCTCCCAAACCCCTGCAAACCCCCAGCAGCCCACCCCTGATAATAGGTATGTCACAGCCAATGTAAACTGAAATATCCCCATGTGACACATATGTGTGTAATGTGAGCTTTGCAAATTTGGAAACTTTGGCCCCTGTAAAAGGTTATGTGACCCTTGACTATTAAATGGCGGTCATCCTTAGAGTAAGCCATGATTTGGACAGGGTCTATTTTGCTATTCATAAAAGGAACCTATGATTTTATTAAGAAAGTAGAAAATGTTGTGCCTCACTGATTTTTGTATGATGTTAAAATGTAAGGTATATTACCATTCTGTTTATTTTGCAAAGTGCCATTAGATTATGAAAGTGTTTTTCGTAAAATGAATTATTCCTCGATGTGAAATTAATTTTTTTTAAAAAAATTAATGGATAATGAAAAGCCATATTATTCAAAAAGCTTTCAATAAGGTTGTATTGGGAGGAAAGCAATTATATGTTCACCACATTTGTTATAGCTTTTTGTAATGAGACTCATTAGTGAGAATCAAAATTGTTAGATATACAAATGGGGACTGTAGTTTTGTTACAGTTTATACTAAATCCCTTGACTGATTAAATTGGACTACGTAATATTGATTCTCTTCACATATAATACTATGTGAACAGTAAACCAAAATTTTGTAAAAACTATGATTTCTTAACTTATAATGATCTAGTTTGCATACAGCATATCACACATAATAAGTGGGCTAGGAAATCATATTGAGGCAAAAGGTAACAAACCATGTTATAACTAAGCATTATATATGAACCCACCATTATATTTATTACCTTTAAATATAGCTTTATTCTTCCAATTTAACTTATCAAGAGTATATTTACAATAATATGTAGTTACATCATTTTATGTCCTGTATTATTAAGTCTATACGTAGAATTACTGTTAAATATTACTGATAATATGAGACTGCAGATATTATTATAGTATTATAAAAATAAGAACTGTAAATAATTCTCTCAATAATGGAGTAATCATTCTTAAATCTGTAATTCATTTGTCTGCTTTAGCTCTAGTTGCATTTTTCAATGTGGGCAAATACCCTAGAGATAATTATTATGATTTAGCTACACTGCTTGCATTTTTGTCCTTAGATACTTCCATGTAATTCCTGAAACTTGTACCACTAATGCAACGTCAGATGACTGGAAACATTACATTTTGTATATTTCTGACTTCTGAGGAACACGGTTGGAGGCCTGAGCAATTTAGAGGAAGGTTACATAATAAGCAATTAACAGGAAAATGGCTTTTCTGGCAGAAAAAAACAAGACAGGTAAGGCAAGGCAGTGTTTCTCAACCAGGACAACTTGAAGATGTGTTGACTTCAACTCAAGAAGGCTACTAGAGCTAAAGCAGACAAATGCTGGCTGGGGAATTCTGGGAATTGTAGTCCGCACATTTTTAAGTTGCCAAGATTGCACTGAGGTAAGGGAAGCTAAGGTAAGATACATTGTACAGTGGGGCAATATATCAAATTTTAAATAAAGATTCACTGAGAAACTAAAGGCAGATTATAAGGGTGGAAGAAAAAGTAGGTCTTTAACAATGCAGAACAAAAATGGCATGCCAGATACAGCCTTTTTTATGCCAAATCCTGCCAGAGGAACAATTCTGTGGAATATTTCAAAAGTATTCAGAACTTTCATTCCCCACAGGATTCCCCACCCCCCAAACGTTCAACAATTCTTAAAATGGCCCATTTAAAAAAAATAGCAAAACCTTACATTTGGGAAAATAAAGTGATTGCTGGTAGAGTTGGATAACATGAGGAAGAAGTCTATGTTTTCTTTATGCAAAACATAATAATAATAAAAAATTCCAAAGATTTATAGTGTAAATAGAATTTACGATGTGCAGAGATTATGAAAGTAGAAACCTACTTGTGGTGTGTTTTTTTTTTACTGACATGATTAAGACAGTCTGCAACTAGCTTTTTCACTTTTGCATAATACATGCATTCTAAACCCAAATCCCAAGGATTTTAGTAGAGGAAGTCAATGTATGGCTTTAATATTAAAGAAATTGATAACTGTTAGGTATATATATTTCTTGATACATAGGTCAACATACTTATGTCCTGTCAGTTGTGAAAAGATAGCTGGAGCACCTCATAACATCATAGTGTATAACAGATCTCTCTTCTTTTAAGACATAAAGTTTCATAAAACTCAACATAAGGAACCAGAGTGCTGGTATGACTTAGCTTTGAACGTTCAGTCTGGAATCCTTATACTTGAATAAAGAGAGTTAAAATTCAAGGTTTAGAAATGGCTTTATCATATGATAAAGAAGGATTAGATGCGATTAATTTGTTTATGGCCTTATTAATTAATTGTTATGAAACAAGCAGATAGAAAGCAAAGCAAAGCAGAAACAGGAGGTTAAACAACTGTATTAAAACCAAAGAGAAATTTCCAGAGATATATTGATGCTTTTCTAAAAAGGATATAATAAAAGTAAAATGAGAAAAAAAGTTTCAGAACATATTAAGATGACTGTAACACGAAACACCATGAATGGACACATGGAATGGTAACATGACAATAGACGTCAATAGAAAACATGCAAAATGAAGGAGAGTTCCTCTGACCTGTGACCTCTGACCTGATCATTACCTCCTGCTTTTCCAATTAAATAAAAACTGAAGTAAGAAAGACATGTGAAGTTTCTCAGATTTCACGCAAGTCTAATGCGGTCATCAAAGGTTCTAAGCTTTATTCTACAGTAAATAGTTTACCAAGTTTGGGTTTCAGGAGATTTACTCCAGATTGGTTAATTTCATTTGGTTAATTTCTTATTTTGACATTTTTTAAAAGAAAAAGAATCTGTATTTCTCAAGTAAATGCATTATATTTCCAAGCAATTCTAATACAAAATGGCTTTATTATTACATCCTTGAAAATTCTATATTTTGTCAGTCCACATTAGCCAAAAAAAAATAGCAAAAGTGATTTCATGTTTACATTACAAAGCTGTAATAAACCAAATAGTGAAACTAATTATCAGCAACAGTGCAGAATGCGCTTAAGATAATTAGCCCATTCTGGAACTGTTGGTCTTTGCATTCAACACTATTTGGATAAAGTTATGCCTTATGCAATGGAAACATTATATTTAAATTACTGTAGTGCATTTTAAACTGCCCAGCATATTAACATAATTGCAAATCATGCAGCTGGTGATGTATTTCTATGGTTTTTGCTTAGCCTGTACCAGAGCTATATTTCTTCATGCAAATTTTGTAGCTGGACATGCTTGTGAGGGGAATCTAGCTTTCAAATGCTAGGCAGGGAATATGGGAGACTGTCAAAGGTCAAGCAGGACTCAGAAAGATGAGGAAAGACTACCGACCAGCCATCTGTTTCTCCTTACTCCTTCTCTTTTTCTCCAGGCGTTTGAGCCTCTTCTCTTCCCGTCTCTTGGCTTCTTCTTCTTCCTGATGCTGACGACATTTATGGAAATTCTCCACCACGACCCCCACAAACATGTTGAGCACAAAGAAGGCAACAATCAGCAGGAAGGAGATAAAGTAGAGAAGCATCCAAGGGTTATAGTTCATGACAGGCTATAAAATAAAGGGAGAAGCCATTACATTCTATCAGGATTAGAATTTAACACCGCCCATGAAAAATTTAGGAACTCCAAATATGTGTATTTCACATAAATATTTTTTGAAAGAGTAATCTCCAAAGCAAACACACCTATTTCTTGGGCTTCTGACAATGTTGTACCAAAACACCTACCTGTTGGTCTACTCCTACAGCATCCAATCCATCGTACATGATGTCCACCCACCCATCTTTAGATGCCAGAACAAATAAAGACATTAAAGCCTAGAAAAACAAAAGGAAACAAAGCATTTTAGCTGAGGAACGACAATATAATATATATCATATTCTACCAGCCTCCTGACTCATGTTTGAATTTATACTTTTTTCCTTTTTCAACTTAGTTGATAATAATAAGCCAACGTTGCTTACCAGGAAAAACGGTATCAAGTACTCACAAGAAGGGTTATTCCAACAAACAGGAACAACCTTACCTCTAACCTTCACCCATTTTTACTTAACCCTTATCATACTGCTGAAATATGATTTCTTGGGGTAATAGTAAATTTATTTATGTAGAAGATTTCTATGGCCACCCAGTCATTCTCGGTGACTCTGGCTAAAAAACCCAATATAAAAGAATAAAAAACTCCCCATCCCCCTGGTGACAATACACTACCAAACAAGCCACTTGATGGGCTCCATTCCATGTTGAGTTCTCCAGACCATTGGCAAAACCAGGCCTTCAGGGCCTTATGAAGATATGTCAGATGGGTGGGTGAGTGGAACAATCTAATCTCTGCAGGGATATTATTTTGAAGGGAGGGAGCTACCAGAGAGAACACCCTTCTTCTGGGTCCTGCCAGTTGTACCTCCTTAGGAGATGGGACCTGCAACATACCTTGCCTCCCCACTCTAGTGGGTTGGGTGGATATAACCAGGAAGAGATGGTCCCTTAGATAACTGGGTCCCAAGCCACAAAGGGCTTTAAAGGTGACAACCAACTTCTTGAATTGCACCCAGAAGCAAATCGGCAGCCAATGTAGCTCCCACAGGAGAGGTGACACACGTGCACACCTGAGCCTGCAAAAAACCATGTGGGTCAATGCACTTTGAACTAATTGGTGCTTCTGGATGCTTTTCAAGAGCAGCCCCATGTAGAGCGCATTGCAATACTCAAGATGGATCTGAGATATCAGTTTGATTACACTATTGTACAGTCATTAAATGTCCAAAGAAAGAGTGTGGGCTGGTCTTAATTGTGAAAGGAATGTATACCAAGTGAGGATTTTTAAATATAGACAATATGACTAGGAAGTGCTGTAGATGATTTGCTATGGTGGCTGCAATATATACAAGGCTATTTCACATCTGCTTTGAATCTAGGCAAATAAGGGAGCATTGCAGCAGATTACTGTTCCATCAGTACCTGGCCAAGATTATCAAAATTATACTTGTGCCGGATCCATTTATAGTTGGCTTCTGCACAGTCTGACTTGTTGGTAATGTTCCTTGTGTCTTCCCCTTGGCAGACAAAAAACTTCCCCTTGAACAGCTGTGAAAAAGGAGAGAATACTCAGTCACTGAAATAATATGGGGAAATCTTTTTCTGTAGGCTTCCACAGTGTACCATTTGCAAATGTCTGATTTTTAAGCTCTTCCTACAGAGAGGCCCATCTGCATCTCACTTGAGCTTTTGGCATTAGCCCCAAAGCTTTTAGCCATCCAATTTTATGAAAGGAGTACTGTAGCATTGCTGGTTTTAAGCTGCTGCTATTCTTGATTTATGCAGGTTTTGCTGTATAATTATGGCATTATACATTTTATATTTTGCTGGTTTTCAAAAATATAGTAATGATTTAGTGTGAGCCCATCCTATTTCACTAAAAGATAGCATTAAAATACTTAACAATGAATGAACAAAGCATTTTTTTTCAGTAAAGAGGTCATGGCTGAGCCTTTCTCAGCTTGGAATCCCCTTAAAAATGCTCTTGTACAGTCTGCAAGGCTATACAAAACAATTTGTACAATGCTCTTGTAGGGTTAGGTTTTCAGATTGAAGTATGACAAATATATTTGAAAATCAGCCATTATTTGAAGACTCCAATTATTAATGCAAAGTTTGTTGTTCTGTAAAGTTTTTCAACAATATTATCCCTTTGCCAATAGAGCTTTGGCATTCTGTTAAAGAACCATCTGAGTGCGACACAATGCTAGGATACATATACTTCCATCTTACTTATTACAAGTATTTATCCCATATCTTGCCTTGGAATTACTCTTTATGCCAATTTATGTTCCAGGCGAAATGTTCAGTTCAGCCTTAATGGATACTTCAACACAAATAAGCATGGCTGGAGGCAGTGGGTTGTTAAAGACTTGGGTACCCCTTCCCTTTTTAATGATTATACCCTGGGAACTGCCAAGCAGGACATGAGGGCACTAGCAGTCTCCTGTCCTTGCCTCTTACCAATTAGTATTGTCTTAAAAACTGGTGCTAAAACATAGCTTTCCTGATCAGTAGCTGCTAAAAAGCTTATTATCTCTCCTTTGGTCTGTAAGAATGGTAGAAACTATATGTCAATGGACTTATTAGTCTAGCTGTGAAGGCCACCAGGGAAGTAATAAGAGACTAGGTTTATAGATGCTGGTATATACATTCTTGAGGGAGAAGCATTTATCTCTCAGCTTGAAAGAAACAATGGTGTGCCTCCTTCTTAAGAATCTATGTCCTGACCCAACTATTTTATACAACTATTCTGGCTCTAACTTTATATTTTTTTGGACAGTGCACTCTAGGGAAGGTTTTGGAAGGTGGTCAGCATAAAGCTATAGATTATTTAGACCTTTGTTAATCAGGATTCATGCCTGACTCTGGGATGGAAATCAGAATGTTCGCCCTGTTGGATGATCTTCACCAGGACTGGGATGGAGTGTTTGGCCAGACCTTTTCTGAATCTCTGGGTAGCTTTCATTTCCTTCAAATATGCTATCCTTCTGGAACAACTAAGACCACTAGGAGTGGGAGACACTGTGTTGAAGTAGTCTCCCCTTTCCCCCTAAGTGTTTTATTTTAGTTAGTGACGGTGGGGGGACAGGTTGAACTCTCAGCTACTCCAGTGTGGGTTCAGCGAGCTCAACCCTCTCCTACTGTTTAGCAGGAAATATGAAACTGCCTTTGAACTATGGTGCTGAAGAAGATTCCTGCGACTCCCTTGGACTGCAAGGCAATTAAACCGGTCAGCGCTAGAGGAGATCAACCCTGACTTCTCTTTAGAAGGCCAGATCCTGAAGAGGAAACTCAAGTACTTTGGCCACGAAATGAGAAGGACTCACTGGAGAAGAGCCTAATGCTGGGAATGATTGAGGGCAAAGAAGGAGGGGATGATAGAGAATGAGGTGGATGGATGGAGTCACCGAAGCAGTCGGAGTTAGCTTAAATGGACTCCAGGGGATGGTAGAGGACAGCAAGGCCTGCAGGAACATTGTCCATGGGGTTGCGATGGGTCGGACATGACTTTGCAACTAACAACAACAATGAAACTGCTAGAAAAAGTCATTTGGGTTTGGACCATTCCCACCCTGTTGGACTTCCAAAAAGATGCAAAGGCAAGGCTCTTCAGGAAATCATTAGGGATGGTGGAGATTTACCTACCAACCTTAGATGGCACAGTTAGCAAACATTTTTGCTAGATTATAATGGTTTTAATCTTGTTACTAATATAAACTGCTCAGAATTAATGGGAACTGAGAGGCATAGAAACGATAATAAATGAATATAACAGATAAATTATATATTCAAGGTCAACCCCCCCCCATTTTTTAGTGGGACTTCATTTCAACTATTGTTGGAAAAATCTTGGAATTTACTTTTTTTAAGTGAAAATATTTACATTTTGCTTCTCCTTAGATTTATGGTGTATTTACAAAGCACTTAATTAAACCCTTAAGACAGCCACAATGTATGTCCTTTAAAAATATAGACATTAATTCACTAAGAACCGCAAGGAGATCAAAGTAGAAATTAAATTTATGAGTTCAGCTATCAAAACCTGTTCAGATAAATGGAACTTAAGATTCTTTTTTCTCCCAAAATTTTAGCAAGGGGAAGAACTGATGCGACACTTCCAAAAGGAGAGATTAAAACCTCAACCATATTACTGATGAAGTTATGATTAGCATAGCTGTTGTTTTGACTGCTACCAGGACAGAAGCTAAGCATGGCAAGCTGGCTGAACAACAGCCATGTATAAAGAAAATGGCTTACTTTTTTTAACTGGAGTTTAATCCTACTTAAATAAGCATGATGTACCGGCTGCTGGGTTAAATAAGAGACAAGAGTGCACATCTGAAAAAGTGACACACCGAAGGGAAGAGTTTTGAAAAGTGCTCTTCTCCTATTTGAGCAGAGACCTTATCTGAAATTCTTTATACAGAAAGCAGAGAAAGCACTGGCATTACTTTGTGTTGAATCAAGCCAAACTACCCTTAAAGTCTTGATATCAACAATGTCAGATGTGATTACGAGCCAAGGTGGCGCAGTGGTTAAATGCAGCACTGCAGGCTACTGCTAGATCAGCAGGTCAGCGGTTCAAATCTCACCGGCTCAGGGTTGACTCAGCCTTCCATCCTTCCGAGGTGGGTAAAATGAGGACCCAGATTGTTGGGGGCAATATGCTGACTCTCTGTAAACCGCTTAGAGAGGCCTGAAAGGCCTATGAAGCGGTATATAAGTCTACTGCTATTATCAACCAGGAGAAAACTATAAAAATCCTAGGGGATTAATTTTGTCATATATTCAATGGCAAACATGAAGTGGCAGAGCATGACAGCTATTATGGCGTGTATTAGCCTAAGCTGAGATGCCTTCACTTTTTTATCGAGTGACAGCAGGTCCTAGCATGGTCATGCCTTGTTTCCCTGTGGCAAGGCACTATTTTCACCAGCTTTTAAAATATCACCTCTTTATCTGAACTCTAGAATAAATGTCATACCTGTGAGCAGTCCAAATAATAGGGATCAGCACACTCAGTGACAGATCTCACATAAGATGGTATTTTATTTATTTATTTCCTATCTAGGAGAACTAACTGGGTGGTAGCAGCATAGAAAGCATCAACAGTGAGTGAGTTCTCCTAGCTTAATCATAGTTGGGCACTAATTCTACCAAACAACCCTACCAAACAACAGCAAACTTCTTCAAAATAAAACAAACTAATCAGATTCTTACCATAGTGTCTTATGACAATAATTTGTTGTTGTTTAATCTACAGCAATGGAAGATAAGACAGAACCCAGGAATCAACATATTTGGAAAGAGTTCCAAGCAAGGAATAGAATCAGTGGTGGGTTTCAATTTTTTTTAGAACCTCTTCTGTAGGTGTGGCCTGCTTTGTGGGAGTGGCTTGTGGCCAACTTGTAAAATGTGGTGAAACTCACTTAACAACGCTCTTGCTTAGCAACCAAAATGTTGGCTCAGAAACTCTGGCATTTGAAGCACGCAAGTCTTAAAGCTGTCAAATTACAAGACCCTTGCACCCCTAACCCTTTAGAAAAAAAACCCAGGGGTGTTCAAACTTGAGAGGTTTAAGATTTGTGGGCTTGAACTCCCAGAATTCTTCTTCTCAGTCTTCATCTTGATGATGTGCGAACGGGCGGGGGTGGAGGGAGCTGGAACTGGTTCTAAACGGCACTGTAGATTTGTGGAACCTCTTCTATAGAAGAGGTTAAAACTAGCAGGAACCCACCCCTAAATAGAATATCCAATAGACAATTCTTGTGTTTGAGAAGTGGGATTGATTGATTGATTGATTGATTGATTGATTGATTGACTGATTACATTCTATCAAGATTGTGCCAACTCTTCAAGATATCAGAAGACTTTCTCCAGAATGATCTGTCCCCATGCTGACCTTTCTGGTTTCCTAATGGTACAGCCCTTGCCACTACAATAGAGTTCCTCCTTCTTGCTGATGATCATTCTTCCACCTTTGTGAAATTCTCAAGGGATTTGAGTCTTTACACAATGTGTCCAAAATATGATAACTTGACCATTGTTTGACAACACTAGATTAACTTGTTCAACCATTTGTTTTTCGCCAAAGTCTTTCTAACATCAGAGTTCAAAAACATTAGTATTTTTTAATCTTGAATTTTCAAAGTCCAATTTTTGCTTTCATAGTATATTACCAGAAGGCTTGAAGGACCAGGCTTAGCACCAATTATCCTGTAGAAAATCTATGGGATCACTAAAAGTTGACACCAGTTTGACACCAATCAAATGTCCATGTTATTATCAATTTTAAGGTTGGTTGTTGTATGTTGTCATTAGTTTGATCTCAATCTGCTAATGCCTAAAATGTCAATATGCAGAACTTTTTGTCTTTTACTATGCTGTTATTCCATGTTCATGCTCCTTTCATTCTATGTTTCCACTGTAATTCCCTTTTTGTAGCTTATTATTATTTTTGCATTACATCAGCAATTAAATATCCAGAAGGCTTTATAATCTGGCTGTGTCATAAATACCATTGTTACTTCAAAGGATCCTCAAGTCTTTCTAAGTAACATGTTGCGTATCATCTGACCTGATGGGTATACCATCTGGCACTATATTATCAATCATTTTATATGACCTATCTAGGTTGTTTTCTTGGTAAAATATAGGACTGCTTTACCTTTCCCTGCTTGAAATAATGCCTTTGCCATTGTTGTTAAAGTGATCATTCAACATGTTCCCATCAGCATTGGGACTCACTTACCTTCCCTACCGGTTCGCAAATGTGAGCGTGTGCGCTCGTTTCGCTCACACACACCACATCTGAGCATGTGCACAGTCTTCTGCACTTCTGATCTAGTGCTCAAGCATTAGATCGGGGCGGGTGGGCGGAGCCTCCTGCAGCCACCGCTAACAGTTCGCCTGAACTGCAGAGAACCGGCTGAATACCATCTTTGGTTACCATATTGCTGCTTCCCTACATAGCCAAGCTTTAACTGGTCAGCTGGTGTGACCTTGATATTTTGAATGACGCTGAGGGGGAGTACATGACATGAAAGCCAGCTGGGTGAACTTAAGTCAGTCACTGTCTCTGAGCCCTATTCACCTCATAGGGTAGTAGTTGTGTGGAAAATAGGAGGAGGAAGGTTTATTGGATATGTTTGCCACCTTTGAGCATTATTTATAAAAATAATAAAGGTGAAAAACAAACAAGCACCCTTGGTATATATTTTCTGCAGTCTTTACTCATCCCTCCCAGGGGCTTCCATCCCCACTATGAGGCAGCATAGCAGGACTTGGGAAGGAAGAAATGGCACTAAATATGGATAAATATAAGGCTTACAAATGCCAAACATGAGCTCTGGTTTAGTTGCAAGGATAAAACAGATATAACAAATTATGTATCAGCACATTTCTCCATAAATAATGTATGATGAGAACAGATGGGCACATTATTAAGTTACTATGCATCTTGCAATCAATTAAAAAACAAACCACTGGCATTATAAAAAATGTGGAATGAGCGTAAATTTCAGTTTTTTTCATTTCAAGTTTTGATTGGTTTACAAAGAATGCTCAATCATATTATTATATTTAATACTGCTATGGATATTTTTCTATCGAGATCATGTGTTTATCTAAAAGGAGGAGAGCTCTGAACTTAACTTTCAAAAAAGTAGATAGAAAAAAATGAAATCCCTGCACAATATCTTTCTTGTTAATCTCGTATGTCAAATCTATCTGACACCAATGAGGATTCCCATGCCCTCTACAACTGTGCACTGATGTATAGGTATGTATGTATGTATGTATGTATGTATGTATGTATGTATGTATGTATGTATGCATGTATGTATATAAATAAAGAAAAGAAACTGATGAAGAAGGGAAGAAATTGGCATCCATGAGAACCATTGCACGATCATGCAGAGTAACATAAGTCACTCTCACCAAAGGCATGCACAGTGCCAAAATCTTATAATTTTGTAATATTTTTTAAGATTTTGATAATCTCAACATGTAGAATTTAAACTCATGAGCATGCTGAAATCTTGCACACCCTTTCCTGAAATATTTCAAGATTTCATGGGAGGACATAGAAACTTCCTAAGAGTTGGTGATCTTTTGAAATGTTGCCCATCATGGTTTAATTTAGGAGCTCTACAGACTTCATATATGAATGTCACAAGTGCCATTCTGCTTTCCCTGCATTATATGCCCTCTGTTGTGATCCAGTGTTATATACTGATCTCTAAAAGCATTTTGTATGAAGCAGCTCTAGAACACTGAAGTATGGACTTCTTTCCTTCTTTCTTAGATGCGTCAGCACTTGTAAACACCTCTCATAAGAGACATCAATATTAGAAAATATTGATGTTTATGAAATTGTCAAACCCTCTGTACTGAATGAGTAAAGTAAAGTTCTCAGGGAACTGTACCCAGAACCTACCTGGACTCCCAAGATGCCAAAAATGATGAAAAAAGCACAGCAAATTACAACAATGTTTCCAATGGGCTTCAGGGAGGACATCAGGGTTTCCACAACCAACTTCAACCCTTGTGCTCGACTGATGACCCTGAAAGGCAAAAGTGGCTTATTAAAAGAACCCTAGGACACGAGACTAACAAACCACTTGGAAGACAGCCTTCAAATAGTTTACAAAGGACTAATCAATACATAGAAGAGGAAATATGGAACTGCTAATGTGCCAGTGAGAGAGTTCCATTGACTGACACCTATTCTGTTCAATAGATGTCATCAGACCCAAGAGAGGAAAACTCTCTGTATATTAGGCAATACATTTTTCCAACAATGATAATGACTACAGCAGGCTAAAAGTGATGCATTATCACTTTACAATAGTTTAGATAGAAATAGAAAGGCTGTATTTCTTCTTAATGTCTGTATGGTTGTTTGTTTGTTTTTTACTTTTCCTCTATGCCACAAAAACTTTATTTTATTGAATTACAAAAATTTCTGTAGGAGTCTGTTCTAAAAAGTGACTTGCTGGCTGAGGATTCTAGGAACTGAAGTCCATACATCTTAAGGTGGTCAAATTTGAAAAACACTTACATAAAAGTATTTGCTATCGTAAATGGAATGAGTATTGTAGAACACCTGACTTCTTGGGTTGTAGCCTTGGGTCAATTTTTAGGAAAAGCAGCTCATGTAATGTAGTAGTTGAGATCCTGGACTAGAGAAACCCATCTTCAGCTATGAAAACCCACAGAGTGACACTGACCAACCACTGATTCCTTAGCTCCACTTTGAAGAGCAGATAGGACAGTGGCAAAACACCCAAAGTAACTGGATTGCAGGGTAATATAATACTTTGCAGCTGTAGACATTTCTGAACAGTTGAATTTACAGATTTTGCCAGATGTTGACCTAAAAAAAGACATTTTGCCCACAGGCATTTTAAAACAATAGAATCTAGTGATTGTTAAGAGTAGCACATGCAACTTATATTCTTTCCCCTTAAGGCAGTAAGTTCCCCTTACTGCCAACAAAAATGTCAAAAATATGAGGAAAATTCTATATCAAAGGACAAAAATTTCAGGCAGTAGCCTAATATATTTCACACAGTGGAGAACCTCCTTAGATTTATTTTATTTTTGATGTGTCTCTGTAATGGGATGTGAGAATAACCTTGGGAGACAGAAGGAAGAGCCACGGCCCTAGACAATGATGTGGTAAGAGAAATCTGAGTCCAAAGAAAGGAAAGGGCTGGAAAAAGTTACTGAGAAGGGACCCACCCTAATTCACTAGGAAGTAAAGTTAGGGAAGGTGAGGGAAATACTTTCAGACTTTTAAGATTCTGTTACTCATGGTTTGGGCTTCCAGTCTGGTTGTCCCAGAGGTGATTTTTCAAGAGACAACTGGACTTTCTGGTTTTTCTTTGAAGATGTTTCACTTCTTGGATGAGAAGTGAAACGTCTTCAAAGAAAAACCAGAAAGTCCAGTTGCGTCTTGAAAAAGCATCTTTGGGACAACCATAACCTGGATGACTGAGAATCTCCATAGTTGGTTCCAATCTGAACGACTTTGAAGTGCTGACAGTCTATACTTCAGCTCAGTTTCCTATAACTTGGACTATCACATCTCTTCTCTTATAATGAACAAAACTGAATGAACAAATGAAACCTTCACAACCTTAGTTTTACTAGTTCCCTCATTGCCAAGTTAAACAGTAATCTGTTTGTCAACATGGACAATGCAGAGTTTAGCTTCATATTCATATTACAGAGCAAAATTCAACAGTCAAGAATGTTAGGAATATAGTCTAACAGTTGGGTTAGCAACATATAAGCCATGATAGTAGTACTGTTTCTTTAAGTACTGCTGTAAATGTGATTTGTTGCTGTTACCTCAAGCGGCCATAAGATGGAGCCAGAATGACTGTTAGCTGTTTTGTTAGATGCTGAGCTCGGATACTGGTTGTAGATGTGTCATGAATTACTGTGAGTTTTGCTACTGTTAGCGACTTTGTGTGCTGAACTGATTATATGATACTGGACTGTGTTGGTTGGATCACCCCTTAACTGAGAACGTTGATAACTGACTGACTTAACCGTGTATGAATTGGACTCTTGAATAGCTCTATTTCCACAGAAGTAAAGTACTATCTGTTTTTACAATTCAGTGTCTCCGTATGTTGGTTTATGCGTTCTGCCAAACCACTCTCACTACATTTCTCTGCACGCACTCGTTCTCCTAACAGGGAGCTTACCTAACAAAGTCTCTTCTTTCCTGTGTCCAAAGGTTTGTTTCTAGCAAAAGTCGGAATCAATTATTATAATCTAACAATCACTAGTGATACTATTACTAGCGATACTATTACTATTATTTGCAATTTCTGAACTGCCATTAAGAGAAATCTCTTTCCATTTCTTATTTTGCATCTTTTCCAAATGTGTTACACATTATTCTAATAATGTGTATTTTTTCTACATTTCATTTCTCATTAAAAGCTGAAATTAATATAGTACTGTTTGTCATCCTTTTCTCGTAATTATTTGCATTCTCAGGAAAACAGACTTTGGCTGATCTCACTAGAAGGACTTTCTAAATTTAATTGACCTCAAATGCTTTAATTCTCACATAGTTGTGGTGTGACATTATTTCACCTAAATACATAGCAGCATTACTCAAATTAGATTTATATTTTCAGTGCCATTTGTTAATTCTGATTTTATTTTGGCTGATCCATTACCTGCTGTATTAGCCTTTAACATTGGCTAAATGTCCTTTGGAATTACTATTTTAAGATTTCTCAGTCAAACAGATTTGTAGGAACATATTTGGGCAACAGATCCGGTCATTTTTTTCCAAGCAAAATTACAAATACTCATAATTATTAAATACGCAACAGGATATTCCGTCCTTCCTTCTTTATGCATCAATATACCCAACTGCATATTTTAACAATGATTCTACAAATCACTATTATGAATGTGCTTCCATATGTGCAATAATAAATTCCATATCCCTAAAGTAACTCTGGTTGGGTCACACATACTTAGCTTCAGAATAGATCAAACATACTTAGCTTCAGAAAGGTCATTCAGCTCCTGTGAGTACAAGAGTGTTGTATGAAGCTACCTGAATACTTAATCACATCATTGGCCCATCTTACTCAATTCTTGAGAAGTTTCAACATACAGTTTAGCGTGACTTGAATAAATTGAAACAAGCTTCAAGCTTGAATGCTTTCCTCTTTTCCTTCCATACAAATGTGAAGAAAAGTTTGGAACATTTCACTTCCTTTCTTTATATTTGAAGTTTGTTCTATTACTTGAGCTAACAGACTAAGTATAGTTGATGGACATGAAAAAGCTGTGTTTAATGTAAATGAGAGCCAAAACATTTTGAAGTTGTCTTTGTAGCCATATGGAAAAACAGAAAGTCCATGTTCCAGACTGATAACTTAAAATGATTTAAATATGGGGTGGTTGCTATATCACCTCCTTTCAAAATATTTATTTATTTACAGTACATCATAGTTTTATTATTTTTATAAATAATTCAAAGTGGTGAATATATCTATTATGTATGTGCAGGCGCTGCAGGAAGGTTTCACTCCGATCTGTGCGTAGGCGCGGGAAAATGCTTTAAACCTATTGGCTAACGGCTGACAGCTCTCTATAAAGAGCACTGCCAGCCGACAGCCTGTGTCTTTTGCTAGAATGTAACTCTACAGTTACAGAATAAAGAGTTTGTTGTTTCCATTGGCTTCGATTCCACTCTTTGCCCAAACTTAACAATATCCATCACTCCTTCCTCCTCATTTTTTCCCTCACAACAACAACCCTATGAGGGATATTGGGCTGAGATAGAGTGACTGGCCCAAAGCTGGCTTATGTGGCTAAGGTGGGACTTGAACTCAATGTCTCCAGTTTTCTAGCCTGGTGCCTTAACCACTAGACCATTCATTTCCTTAGGCATTTCCTGAACCTGGGTCGTTTTCCAGGCAAAGATGAAGCCTTCTCCTCAGAAACAGCAGAGATCATATCACAGAAAATCAGATTCTACCTTCCATCTCTCTATAGGACTACCAAAAGTCATATTTTGCATTCTCCATGGGGACGAATATAGATGAATTCTAATCTTATACGTTTTACAGATCAATCTCCAAAAATGAATAAAATTTCTCAAATCCATTCTCAACTCCCAACTCCCTTTTAGTTGATTTGATCTTAACCTTTGATGTGAGTTATACCTTTCTAAACTGTCCTTTTACTAACTCGACTCTGCTATATTTTTTTCAGGAACTTTAATCATGGAGCAACCTAATGAATAGGCGAGGATATGTCGTAACTGTGGATTATAGTCTTACAGTTGGATAGTGTCAATATTGCAGTCAATAGAGAAGGTAGAGGTGTATAAGAAAACCAAGCAGCTGGGATTACTGCACTAAGGCTTCCTAAAATCAAGAAGAAGCATATGGACAATGGACATTAATAGTGATTTGCTCTGTGATAGTGTCCCCTCCTCCCTGAACCAGCCTTCTACTACCTGTCATATTCCTATGTTAGAACTATAACTCTCAAGCACTTGATATTATGAGAAATGAAGTTTTGATCTGTATGGAGGGCACCAGATTAGAAAAAAAAAACAGACTTAACAATTACAGTTAGTCCCCGACTGACAACAGTTCTTTTAGTGAAAGTCTAACGTTACAAAAGGTACTGAAAAAAGTGACTTATGACCATTTCCCACATTTTGGTCACATGACCAAAATCCAGTTGCTTGGTAATGGACTCATATTTATGACAATTGCAGTAACTTGCTTCTCAGCATAGACCCAAAAAATATGACGTGGAAGGGAAAGAAGTAGAAGAGGAGGAGGAGGAGGAGGAGGAAAAGGCAGCTAATAATAAGGAAGTAGCCTCTAAACATTCCTTGAAATTACAAACATATGAAATTGTTTTAATAATGAGTTAGAACATTGGTTGCTCAATACTGTCTACATTTGTTTCTCCCAGACTGGCATTCTTAATAAGTATATTAGGAACGCTTTTCACTTTGAAAATAAGTAAAAGCTCCTGAAAGACTTTGCTTGAATTACACAATTGCTCCCTCCTGAAGTACGTTTGTTACTTCATGTTTGATCCTTTGTTGAGGATTGGGACTGGCAGTGTTCTGGTAGCATCCTTTCTTCCACAGTCCCTTTGGTCAGTTGTAGTTAACTACAAAGCTGCAGGATTATACAGATCAAAATAGTTGTCCCCGCCCCATCCCTCCAGGTTTAAGTATTTAAAAAGACTGTCATCCTTAATTCAACTCAGAGACTTTCTCCCTTCATCCTGAATTTCCTTCCCTTAAACCCCCTCCCTGTCTGAAGAGTGGGCCTTTTCTCTTTGTCTTGAGTGTTAAGTGTTCCAGTGGCTGCAGCAGTTGTATTTTCTCAGGGAAACTCCCTCATCCTTACCAGCCTTCCTTTATTAGGGGAAATCTTGGTGGGACACAAGGGGCAGTTCACCCCTTTTTGTGGATATAACAGGTTTTAGGTTTATTGGACTTAATAAATGTATAATGCAGCCATTCCTGGTCTGGCGATTTCCAGATGGTCTGGGATGCCAACTGTTTATTAAAGAGGAACTGCTTTGGTCAAGACTGGTAAAAAAATAATCTTCAAGCACCTGAGTAGTTCTGCTTAAATTAACCATGCTAAACCCAGCCTGCAATATTTTACCAAACTGTTAAAAGCAGCTTTTAAAAGCTGTTCCTAAGTGATAGAAATAAACTAATTATATTTTCAATATTATCACTCTTCTGTTGTCTTTAAGTGAAAAAAAAATCCAGCATAGTCCCCAGCTATAATAATAGAAATATAGCACTTTCTCATCTCAGTTACTTTTCCTGAGCAATTATAGTAGAGGATCACTTCATGTTAATAATAGGATATTGGAGTCTCTTCTTTAAAAAAAAAAGGAAGCAGATGGATCATGTTTATTTTCATCAGCTATGCAATGCACACATTTAATGTGTCTTAATTCAAGTTGAAGGTAAGATATGTGGTTGTTGTCACCTCACCTGCCTTAGGAAGTCTTGAGTAAAAGTCGCAACCACATGACTCTGGCCACTATTAATGATGCTTGCACAACTTTCTATGAAAGCAAGGGTTTTAATGGTGTGGTTAAAGCTGGCTTGGATCAAAAGGCCAAGACTTCACACAGACGGCATACCATGTGGAGCAATGCCCATCTGGTTTGCATCCTCTGTGGCCACCACATCACAGGGTGCATGTATGAAGTGGCGCCCTTTGGGCTAAAAAAATTCAAGCTTTTGTTTAAACTGTCTCCTACCAAAAGGAGAGGGGGGGGGGGGAAAAGCCATGGGTTGGAGAAATAAAGTTTGGAAATAAGCAGGCAGGTTTTGATGAAGGCTTTGTATAAGCTAGATAGGCTTTCCAGTGGTCTTCATTATGAATTCTTGGTCCCTTTCTCATGACCTTTGTTCCCTGTCTCCTGCACTCTTCCTCCAGAAACCTGACTTTCTATGGTTTCTGGGGGAGAGTGGAGAAAGAGGGAGGATAATAGATTCCTTGAAGCAAACTGTATCATGAAAAATAATCATCTGCAAATGGTTACAAGATGCATTATGCAACTAGAATCATTTATTCTGAACACTGAAACCCACATTTAGATTTGTTTCGTGCAAAGTACGTACAGTTTGGCCTTAAAACCTCTATACCACTTCACTGGCTTCAATGATAATGCAGTTCTTATGTTTCTAGGACATAAAAACGTAAGGCCTTTTTGCAGAAAACAACTAATTCTGAATCACTGAAAGAGGGCAGCATGATTTTATTTGTGGGCTCCAGGCATCATTAATCGATGCAGTTTTTCTCAGATGTAGTGCACTGCTGGATCATGTTTGTGTAGGACCATCAACAACGAAGAAATCATATTTTCAGTATCTTAATGGTAACTCAGACAAGCAAATTACCATATCTTATCCATGGGAGCCATTTCCATTTGCCAGAAAGAGAGGGAAGAGGAGTGCGGTAAGAATATGAAAGAAAAGAGCTACAAAATGATTCTTGTATCCTCCTGTTATGAAAGCTGAATAATTCATACATATTGGAAGCCAACATCAGGGCACGCAACTTACCAAAATTATTCTACATAAATTCGTCTTGCAGATGATCTCAGACACTGAGGTTTGGATGCTTTAGGTAGAAATGCTTTGATTGTGATGAATTCATACATACAAGGGACCTACAAATACTACTATATACCAAAGAGTTTTTGATAAATAGTTGTTATCCTTCCCTCCCCTTCTTCTTAAAGGGCTTTTCAGAGTGGTGTCATATACCATAAGCCTTAATAACTAAATCCCTCATCAACCTGTATGCCTCCAGAATAAAATTGTCAGTTTCATAAGGGCAGTTTAGATAAATGATTTAGCCTCAAAAACTTTTTTCTCTGGATAAGAGGAAAAGCAGAAGTGAGAGTACTGTTCCTATATTTCACATAAACCTGCTCTACTCAACCATAAAGGTTTTATCAATTAAAGAAGGAATAATATCATGGATGAAAACCTTGGCTGAAAACCCATTTCATTTTTATGGAACCTATAGTGGCTGAGACACTGAGCTTGTTGATCAGAAAGGTCGGCAGTTTGGTGGTTTAAATCCCTAGTGCTGCATAACGGAGTGAGCTCCCATTACTTGTCCCAGC